ATAAAGTAAACAGATTGTTCCAGCAAGACCAAAAGAGGGTGTATCAACAAATGAATGGAACATCTAGTAGCTTCAGTGCAGTTAGACCCGATGCTGAGGAAAGCCAACAGTTTTGGAGAGACATATGGGGTAATGAAGTTTTACACAATCAAAATTCAGAATGGTTAAAAGAATTGAAAAAGGAAAGAGCAGAAGCTAGACAGGAGGACATTGTAATAACAGCTGAAATTGTGACAGCAAGGTCGAAGAAGATCTCCAATTGGAAGGCACCTGGCCCTGATAGCGTCAAAGGCTACTGGATCAAGAAATTGACAGCATTACATGAACGAATGGCTGACCACATGAATGAAATGATCAACAACAGGGTCGCCATACCTGTATAAATGACAACTGGAAGAACCGTGCTGTGTCAGAAAGATCACGAACAAGGTAGTGCTGTTGATAACTATTGACCCATATCCTGTCTACCACTTGCTTGCAAACTGATGAAAGGGATCATAGCTGATGGTATGTATGAGTTCTCGTAGAAAACGATGCTTTGCCTCTAGAACAGACGGGGTGCAAGAGAAAGAGTAGAGGCACAAAAGATCAGTTGTTCATTGATAAGATGGTCCTTGCTGATTGCAAAAGAAAGCACAAGAACTTGGCTGTAACGTGGGTGGACTGTAAGAAAGGATACGATATGGTGCCTCACTCTTGGATTATTGAAAGCCTCAAAATGGCAAAGGTAGCGGAAAACATAATTTTTCTGCAGAAATCCATGGTAAACGGGAAGACAGAACTGACATCTTGTGGAGAGACACTTGGTTTAGTTGATATTCGACGGGGTATCTTTCAAGAAGACAGCCTGTCCCCCCTTATCTTCACTGTTTGCATGGTACCCTTGACCAAGATCCTGCAAGATGCCAAAGCTGGGTATACCTTAGCAGACGTCAAAATAAATCGTTTGTTCTTTATGGATGACTTGAAGGTCTATGGCAAGGATAAAGCAGAGATTGAAAGCCTTGTATCGAGAGTACAGTTGATTAGCTAAGACATAGGAATGGAGTTTGGGATGAAGAAATGTGGTGTTGTGGTGCTGAAGCGGGGAAAGTTGTGTAAAAGTGAGGGTATTTAGTTGATAAATGGACAGACGATAAAGGAAGTTGATGACGAAGGTTACAAGTATCTGGGCATTCTAGAGTTGGACAAGTTTAAGGAGAGGGAAATGAAAGACATATTTCGAACAGAGTACTTAAGGCGGTTCAAACTTGTCATGAAATCTCAGCTCAATGGTAAGAACAAGATCAAAGCAGCAAACACTTGGGCTGTGTCACTCACGAGGTATAGAGCAAGAACAATTAAATGGAATAAGGAGGAACTTCAGGAAATAGATAGGAAGTTCAGAAAAATCATGACGATGAATAAGGAGCTACACCCTAGAAGTGATGTTACCAGAATATACGTTCCCAGAAAGAAGGGAGGATGAGGCCTGACCAGTTGTGAGAGCTGCGTGAGGAGAAAAGAGAACAACTTGAGTTGGCATGTGAGAAATTGTGAAGAGGCATTACTTAGGAAAGTTGGAGATAGCAATGTAGTCAACATCTCAGAGGCTGTGGACCCAAAAGAGTTCAAAGTGAAAGAAGTAAAGGAGACGGAGAATGAATCGAAGCAGAAAAGAATGCATGGGCAGCATGTGAGAGAAAAGGAAGATATTGACTGGGATGGAACTTGGCAGTGGATTGCAAAAGGAGATTTGAAAGGATGTCCTGAGGCCCTGATGTGTAGCGCCCAGGAACAAGCTTTGAGAACAAATTATACGAGATTTCATATTGATCACACAGCAGAATCCCCTTTGTGCAGAATGTGCGGAAGTAAGGGAGAAACGGTGGCCCATGTGGTGAGTGGTAAGCTGGCGCAGACAGAATATAAAGGAAGGCATGATAACGTGGCACGGTATATCCACTGGCAACTTTGTGGTACATGTGGATTAACGGTGAGATGGTCAGGCAAGCTGCCTTGAGAACAAAAGGAGCGGGAGGCCTGTCTGGGGTTGACGCGAATGGCTTCAGAAGAATCCTTGCTTGCAAGTCCTTTAAACAGTCATCGACAAGGCTGTGTGAGGCAATAGCCACAATGACAAGGACTCTGTGTACGCAATGCATTGATCCTATGACCAGAGAGCCCCTGGTAGCTAACCGTCTGATTCCACTGGATAAAGGCGAAGGTGCTGTTAGACCAATAGGAGTCGGGGAAGTTTTAAGGAGAATTTGTGGAAAGTGTGTAATGAGTGTTGGGAAATGTTCTTTCTTCATTTGAATAATTTTTGTTTAATGAAATGAATATTTTTCTAATCAAAAGTAAGGGGTTTTTTTTACGGAAGGAATTGTAGATAGTGTTTTGACGAAATAGTTTTTTTTTTGAGTGAATTAATTGTGAATAGGATTTTAATAGTTAGCATTGTTATCAATTAAATATCAATAGTCAACTTATTTTTCTAAAAAAATGTGGACTGAAAAGAGCTAATAGCTGGTATGAACAGAAGCCAGAGGGAGTGCTGGAAAGTGAAAACTTCAAGACACTGAGGCATTTCACAATCCAGTGTGATCGGAAAATTGAAGCAAGAAGACTAGACCTTGTCTTTATTGATAAGAAGAAGAGAGAGGTTGTCATAATTGACGTTGCCATCCCAGGTGATGACAGGGTGAAAGATAAGGAACTTGAGAAGTTAGAGAAATACCAACTATTGAAAGATGAAATTGCAAAAGTGTGGCGCATGCGAAAAGTCATTGTAGTGCCTGTTGTTATTGCAGCCCTCGGAGCCGTATCAGTCAACTTTAAGGAGTACATGAAGCGAACCGGCGTGAACGTCAGGTTGGAAGTTATCCAAAAAACAGCAATAATAATAATAATAATAGTAATTCCGTTATTTACCCTCGGCAGCATTTATAGCACTAATGCTAGTGAGGGCGAGGAAATGCATAAAACAAATAACCTAAATAACACATAACAGGGTTAAGAATCCCAACTGGCCGGAGGCAAACCAGCTGGCTATTTAAAAGCATGGCCGAGGATTTGAACCTGGAACTATCGTGAACAAATCCAGCTAGCGGTCATAGCGGGTCTTGAACTTGGGGCCTCCGATCCGCAAGTGCAGCGCTTTAACCACTCGGCCACGCTGCCTCCCACGCTGACTGGACTTTCAAGTCCTCTTTAATATACCAAACTCAAAATCACCTTAGAGACACCCCACAAACAAATCGAAATTTAAGGCAATAAAGTATTAAAAGAGTTGTTTCCCTCCTGTGTGCTGGTAAAGCATGTCAGCTTGACCTTGCTGTCTCACTTACATCAACTTTGCCTAACTCGTCTTGCCCTTTATTCAAATCCACCGGCGCCTGAGCCTCAACAGAGTCCTCCACTGCAGAGAACACTTCCTGGACAGGCTCAAGCTGGGCCTTGTAAGTCTCAAGATGTTCTAAGGCGCTCTTAAGATCTTGCTCACGGGTCTGAAGCCTGTCTAGCACCTCTAGCATCGGAGTTTGAACTTCACTTAAGACTTTGTTCACTTTACTGCTGGCCTTTAGGTCATCTTTTTTTTCTGAACAGATGGATGTAGCAGCCACTTGAGCAGTCGATAACACAGCAAGTTGGGAATCGGCTTCCACCTGAAGCTCCTGGACGCGAAAAGGAAAAAAATTGGTTTTAAAATGGATAACACTGAATTTTAATTTGAAAACATTTCGAACTTCAAGTTACGCATAAAGCTGAGCAAGTAAAATTAATTACAACTATAAAACTAACCAAACGCTATTAAGCACCTTCAAATAGCGTTAACAGTTTCAACCTTTCAGCTGTGCGTTAATACGCCACAACGTAAAAGATCAAGGTAAGGGTGTAAATATGGCTCTTCCGTATTACAGTTCAACATGACAAATTTTTTCACTATTTTAAACAACAAAAAATGCTTTTTCCCGAAATTTTTATTCACAGATACTTGCACAGCCAGCGAAAACCTCTTATTAAACAAACATATGCGTCAGTAAGTTCCAAACGACGCCTCCCATATTTTCTTTAAAACCTTAAACGAGCCAATATTTAGCAGACAAAGGGCGGACACTATCGAAGGTCAAGAAGGTATTTCCTTATAAAAGGTTTGACTGTATGTGTAAAAGTGTTATGATAAATTGTACACTTTTCACATATTTTAGTTCACCTGTAGTTCATGTAACTGTTTGTTAATGGTTTCTGCTTCGTTGTGAATTGGCTCCTGGGCTTCAAGTCTGTCAAACACATCATTCAGATAAACTCTCAGCTCCTCAGTTGAAGTGCTAAATGTTGTTAAATCGTCTACTAAACTTTCGAGTTTCTTCAAATGCTCGTTATTCTTATTGCCAAGGAAGACACACCGCTGACCAAGTGCAGACACACGTTGTTTGATTGGCATGAGATCAAGATAGTCTTGATCATCCTCTCTGATCTTTTCGCTCATTGCTTGTAACTGAGACTTTAAATTGTCAATATCTTCTTGGATGAGCTGTAAGACAACATTAAGAAAGACACACTCAGTATCACATGATCTCCTTAGTTAAAATAATCGAAACAAGCCCAGGTTTTAACTCCCACTTATCCATCTAAATCAGACAGAAGATTAAGTGGAAGCTTGGTGACGTCTGCAACTACACAAATTGTTTGGCAAACGCTAATACAACTTAACTTCACTCAAACTTCATCCCCTGCAATTACTTAATCTGCTGAAGCAAAATAATTTTTACAATGATTTTAACTACAACTACTTTTCACAGGTCTTTGTATCACTAAGTGCTAGACAACAATCTATTAGTTTACATGCTCTGTACCTTGGCACATTGTAGCTTTTTCTTTCCAACTTCCATTTCAATGCCTTCAAATTCACAGTCCTTCAATCGCCTTTCCAGCCTTGCAAGTTCATTATCTACAGGCAGAAGAACGCTCCTGTATTTTCTCACCACTTGCTCCGCCTCTGATACCTGACGTCTTCTTTCCAAGTAAAACTGGTTTACCTTACTCCACCTGTCAATCACGTCTTTGACGTCATTCTGTATTTGTGGAACACCTTGGGAAACGGATAAATCTTGACAGCTTTCTAACAGGTCATCAGCATTGTCCATGAGAGAGCGGTATACTGGTCGATGGCCCTCGATGTCTTCTTGTACGAATTGTTGCAGGTACTAGCAAAACAAACACTTATTATTCACTTAAGGTGGCTCGACCCAGTATTTTTGTAGGTACACCTTCCATCTCTGAATCTCTTAGACTAAAACAAATTTGTCTTTATTGTAAAACCATTATAACGCATGTATTACCATATACTGAACTTTATTATTATATTAGTTTTTGGGAGATCGGAATAAATATCACGTGACAATGACGTCTCAATAGTTTTAGCCCTAATTCAAATTGCAGCCCTTATCGGCATTTTCTTTAGAAATGCTTTACGCTACCTGTACTTTGGGTACTGGTATTTTGTTGTGCGAGGTTTCACAGAAATCAATAAGAGGGATTTTAAGATATCTTGGAATTTCTACAAAAAGGGTTTAAGTTATGCCTGAACTGAAGGCTGGTTTTATTCTTTCGTAAATGACCTTTAAATACTCTACAACCGGCCAAACGCAAGTAGACTTGCGCGATTGATTTCGAAAAACACACAAACATGTAAATCAGGGTAAAACACAATGCTGAGCTCTTTTTCGAAGGCTACTTTCACGAAAACAGCCATTAAAACAAAATTCGTCGATACATTTTCGATAAAAATTTTTAGTGCTTCAATCATCAGTGTTCAATAAAACCTCCGTATTTCGTGTCCATTGAAAAGTTTTAAAGTTGTCTAACGTAGGTGCAAAACTGAGCAAATATTGGAGCGATGTCATAGACCTGGGACGTTTTTACTCTGGGATTTCCTATTGTTTCAAGTTTAGCACAACATCAAATTCCCATGTAGCACGGGAGAATGTACCGGATTTCATGGCGTTTGGCAGTAAGCAATTGCTGCCCAGATTGCACGACTTCAGTGTATCTCTACTAGGAAGAGATATCTTTCCTACTCAAACAGCCAAGGACTTAGGTGTGACATTGGACCCTTATTTGACATATAATCAACACCGTTTCTACACCCATTTGATAACAAGATCATCTTGACCATCTTAAAAACTTTGGTTTTCAGTAAATTATACTATTGTTCAAATGTATGGGCAAATACGTCAAGGAATAACATACAAAAGTTGCAAGCTGTGCAAAATTTTGCCCGCCGTATTACAAGTGGAACCCGCAAAAACGATCATATCACGCCCTCTCTTAAAGAACTGAGATGGCTAACTGTTGCTAGCGAGCTTTCCTATCGTAGCGCCATTACGGCGTTTAAATGTATGTCGGGGTGTGCCCCAGAATATCTTCCCACACAATTTATTAAACTACAATTAGATCTAAGTTATTGCGGGAACTATATGAGACCTATTTTCCTCGGCTTTGAACATTTGAATAAATTGTAAATTTTCTCTATAACTAATGTATTTATTCCGTTGTAGATTTCTCTCTTTTTATTGTTAACATTCTTCTCGCAATAGTTAGTGTTAGCCAGTTAATTTTATAATTTTTTTTCTTCTTCTGTACGTAATCGATTATTATTTTGTCTTTGAAAAGCCTTCGGAAAGATAATGAAATATGTATGTATGTACATCCCTTCAATATTTACTCAAATTTGCGCCTACGTTAGACAACTTTAAAAATTTTCTATGGACACGAAATTCGGGGCATTTATAGTACACTGATCATTTGCAGCACTGAAATTTTTTGAAGAAAATCTATCGACGAATTTTGGTTTTATCGCTGTGAAAGTAGCCTTTGAAATTACCACAAGAGCTCAGCATTGCGTTTTACCCTGATTCACATGTTTTCATGTTTTTCGACATCACGCAAGTCTAGCCGGTTGAAGAGTGTACGAGGGTTATTTACAAAACGAATGAGTGATAAAAACGTTTCGGAAACATCCAGAAAGCAGCAAATTTGTCTGCATTAAGTCCAGTCTTCAGTTCATGCATAATTTGCCTTTTTGTAGAAATTCCAAGATATCTCGAAATTCCTTATAGTTTTTTGTGAAACTTCACACCCAAAGTGTAGGTAGGGTCAAGCATTTCTAAAGAAAATGCCGATAAGGGCTGCAATTCGATTAAGAGCTAAAACTATAGTGACGTCATTGTCACATGGTATTTATTCCGATCGCTTAAAGAGTAATATCATAATAAATTTATGTGTAACACGTGTTACATTGGTTTTACATAAAGATAGAATTGCTTTATGTCTAAGATATTCAAAGATGGAAAGTGTACCTACAAAAATACTGGGTCGTGCCACCTTTACTAATTAAAGAGCAATTTTGTGTGTTTTTGTCACTGTTTGACAGCATTGGCTGTTCTAAAGAATAAAAACATTTTATCGTCGTATTATCCACTCGTTCATCATTTCTGAATGCAGTTTCAGTATCTC